GGCTATACAAATAGTATTCCGACTCACCATCCAATCATTCATTTATATGAATGATTCGATTCACATGTGTCTGCGGAACCTCTGAACTACTCTCGGCGAGTACAGTTCTAGAACCGTAGTGGTCCATATAAATGATTATGTTAAACCAGTGTTTCCCAAAGTGGGCGATATCGCCCCCTTTGGGAGCAATAGAGCTATCCATGGAGGTAATAGAAGTTACAAGCTTAATTGGAGGACATTTCATTACAAAAAGGGGGCGGTGACAGTTTCATCTGTCGTGATCCAAATTAACTGAATTGTGTATATTGTATTTTTAAATTAATCGTTCGTCGTCTATCGAAATTCGTCGATAATCTGTCGTTATTGCGATAACAGAAATAACATACGTGATCTAAATTATCTGAATTATTTTTGTACTTAGTACACTCGCGAATGCCGATCTTAAGTGGGCTATACGTGTGTAGTTAAAACTGGATGATTCTACCGTACAGTTTTATCTGTACAGGTAAGTCTTACGTGTGTAGGCTAATACGACATAGTATTTAGAATTGTGCAATTGATCGGAAATAAATTGAAAGTACCAATTGATAAAACTGCAATATTTAAACTGGTTAGGCAAATTGTACACTGTACAGTTTAAATTTCATTACAGCCACATGGAAAAGTCAATTCGTAATTTTAAAAACTGAATAACTACGCATTGTATACTATTATTTATTATCCCCGCCATTTAAATTATGGTAACAAAAATACGTGAGTGGACGAAAGAATTGATTGAAAATGTATCGTTCCGAACCGTATCTATGGAAAGTCAAGCAAAAAGATTATCATGATCGAAGCAAAAAAGATGCTGCTTATGCAAAATTAACCTAAGTAAAGAAAAAAGGTGCAAATAAGTATCTTCATTCATCCTCAAGTAATTAATAAAATCTTTTAGAGTAATTCTCAATTCGTTAATCAAATTTGTATATGAATATTCACTTTTTTTTAACAACCATTGTTTACGTTACGGTTTTTACGTCTTTTATTTTTTAAAACATACATTAATCCTAGAATCGCGAGAGCGTCATCTATCTTCGCCATGTTAATCGATTATAACTCCATGATTTATTCTAATTATACAGTAAAATTACTCAATTTTAACTGAAGGTGTGTATGTTGAAGTGTAAACGATTTATATGTACAGATAAAACTGTACAGTCGAATCGTACAGTCTTAACTACACTTATGTAGCCCGCTTTATTCGTTGTCGTTTTTATAATAATTTTCGTTAATTTGTTGTATATTATTTTATTTAAATTTTAAACGTTTTCACATCATGGCTGAATCGAAGAAAAAATGTAGGAAGTATAATATTGAATATTTGAAGTACGGTTTTATTCAATCGCCTACAAATATAACATTACCAATGTGTCTCATGTGCCGAAAAGTATTTTCAAATAAAGCTATGAAACCGTCGAGACTGCAAGAACATTTAACAAAGGTTCATGCTAATAAAAAAAAATAAGGATTTATTTTATTTTTAAATACTTGAAAAGAAATTTTTGAAAGAGCCGACATTGGTCAATATGTTTTTAATAACATTGAAATAAGATGATGACGGATTGCGAGCTTCGTACAGCATTTATCTACTGATTGCCTAATCTGGTAAAGCGCATACTATTGGCGAAGAATTTATTTTACCAGCTATAAACGAGGTAATAAACACAGTGTTGCATAAACCAGCTTTTGATATTATTAAAAAAATTCCTCTGAGCAATAATACAGTGCAAAGTAGAATTGATGAAATGGCACAATCTGTCGAAGAATTATTATGCGAGTTTTTAAAAGCCACCAAATTTTCTATACAGCTTGATGAATCGAATTTACCAGGTCACAAAGCCTTATTAGCTTACGTACGATTTGTAAAAGAAGAAAAGATTTGCCAAGAATTATTATTGCTAAAAATTAGATGACTGACACTAAAGGAGAATCAATATATCACACATTGGAAGAGTTTTTTAAAGAAAAAAAATTCCTATGTGTAATATATTATCAGTTGCGACCGATGGTGCTCCAGCAATGGTAGGGTGCCATCGAGGTTTTATTGCATATTTGAAAAAAAACTGTACCAAATGTACTCGCTGTACATTGTGTCATTCATCGTCAACATTTAGTTGCCAAAAATTTGAGTGAACGCTTACATAAGTCATTACACTATGTAATTTCAGCTATCAATAAAATCAAAAATAATTCATTGAATGATAGATTGTTTGAACAACTTTGTACTGAAAATGATGAAGAATTCAATCAATTATTATTTCACACAGAAGTTCATTGGTTGTCTAAGGGTGTCTGTTTAGACAGATTCTATAAGTTATTTGACTGGGTGCTTGGTATTTAAAAACTAAAACGATATTTTACGAGGCAACTTAATCAAGTATAGAAGTGACATTGCTTTGACTAGCCTGTTTAAAAAATGTAATGAAACAAATTTGCAGCTTCAAGGTGATGATTTGAATTTAATCGAAACAAAAAATATTATTTCTGCATTTTTAATAAAATTTCTTATGTACAAAAAAAATTTAGGACGAAAAGAATTTACACAGTTTCCAAATCTATTAATGGAACAAAAAATGATGAAGATTTAATGACATATTGTCAACACCTGTAAGCACTACATTCCGATTTCAACAAACGATTTGAGGATATTCTTAAAATTGACATACCAAAATGGGTTTCAGATCCATTTTCAAATACAGAAACCATAGATTCTGCAAAATTAGAAGAAGAATTGATAGAAGTAGCTAAAATGAGGAATTCAAATTAAAGTTCAAGGAAGGTTATCAAGTATTCTGGCTACAAAAGCAAATATCTATACTATATCCTGGATTGTGGGCTGTAATACAAATATTTTTGATCGCATTTCCATCATCCTACTTGGTTAAGCGTGGATTTAGTGCAGTAACCAATCTACTCACTAAAAACAGACAACGGTTACAAATAACTAAACGTGGGGACTTAAGAATGTTGATTACGAAAATCGAACCTAATATCAACGAACTTCTAGCAAAACAACAACCACATCCATCTTATTAAGATATTTTTTTTCATTTATACTCATACATTATATATATATATATTTATAATCGATAGATTTCAATTTTCATTGCATACTTTTGTAACAATATTTTTTTTAAGGAGGCATCTGTCGGATTTTTTTTTTTTTTTTTGGAAGTGGGCAGTAGAGATAAAAAAATTGGGAAACACTGCGTTAAACGAACATTATTGTATTCGTAAAACATACTAAAGAATAGCATGTATTATTAGATGAGGATGCTAAACTAATCGTCGGCTTGAAAGATTCACTCGTTAATTAATAATAAAAATAATTATATAATTAGGTATATTACATCTATTAAAATATATAACATATTTCCTTACAGAATAATATATAATTATTTTGTAAATAAAATACGGTTTACGTTTCTTTTTTAAGTGCAGATAAATGTTATTTTATGTAATTTTAATCATTATAATATATTAATTTTATTTTATATTTATTTTTATAGTCCGAGAAGTATGTTATCATTTATAGGTTATTAATGTAATTATAAATTATAACACAATTAAAATTAAAATTTGTAAATTTGTTACAAAATAATAAAAATAATTGTAAACATTAACTAACACAAAATAGTTTTTGTACCTATATAAATCAATATATCTATTATATAAAATATATGTTAACATTTAAATAAATTCCTTATAATATAATTTGATAGAATTGAAGTGATTAAACATATAGACATGCGGCACAAATTACATTATGAAAAGATACGATGTGGAGCAAATTACCATCGCCCAATAAATTATTATTTGAATAATAGTAATAATAATAATAATAATAATAATAATAAGTTAAATTCAAAGTTAAGAAAATCTTTGATATTTTAATTTAAATTATCAAATATTTTTAAAATTAGTTGTAAGCTGTTTAATGGATTAATTTTATTATTATTAAGACTACCTATGGCTAAAATTACATATGATGTGTAAGATGTTCTATGATACATCAATCTTTCTAACCTATGCAATATGAAATTTGCTAATGTCATAAAAAAATTATGAGAATAAAATCATCGCTTTAGTTGAAATGTTTCAGGAGCCTAATTAAATACCTTATTATTTAAATAATAAATTGAGAAATAATGTTTTCAATAATTTGAAAATATATCCTAATTTAATCACTTAAGACTTTTATTATTTTTTCGTTTATTCTAGAGAATTTAGATCCATTACCCCATAAAATGTTGATTAATCCACGAATAAAAAATAAAATACTAAGTCACTATAACAGGTTATCAGTATTCAAATGTTACATTTAAGATATATATTTATTCCATACACATGCATAGCGCAATCTATCGGTCAAGACATAGAACAACTAATGTACTACCTAATGGTAATTTATATTTTTTTATTTTATCAAGAGCAATTAAAACTATAAAATGTTTTATTATGAATGCATTTTAAATGAAGAATAAATTCGGTATACTTATAAACATGTAAATATGTTAATCAAATTGATTGATAACTTTGTATATATTTATCACAATTTATATTAAGTTGCCTATTAATAACGCCTTATTGAACAAATTGATTATAAATTAATATCATAAATTAATTAAATTTATTTCAAAAATTGTATTCAGTGTTAACAATAAGTACGGATTTAATAAGTGATGAAAATAAATAATTTATCACGGGCAATATGTAAAGGTAATCAAATGTTTTAAAGTTTGTCGATGAATATAATATATTTTAATATTGAATTATAATAGTTTTGTAGAGCTTTTGGCTATATGGACATGAATAGTTCTAATCTAGTCGACGCATAATACGATAAAATGTATCAATATTTTTTTCAACTTTCTATTCAAATAATTATCAAATATCGTACTATGAACGCGAAGTTACGTTCGATATTCGCTAACAAGTGAATATGTAACGAGACTTACCGGGTGGAATATGTTTGAGATCCTCTTGTATCCTGGACGGACATTCGGTCAAAACGGGGATCATCGCGTGTTCTTTGCGGTCGTTCTCGGACGCGGCGCCGTTACCACTGCCACCGGGCTGTTCGACATTGTCGGATGACGACAGCTGCGAAGCGGTGGCCGCCGCTGACGTCGTCTCGAAGACCACGGGTCGTAAATCTATGACTCGACCACAAGTGTCCACAAGGTGGACGGTGATGTTGGCCGTAGATTGACGAATCGCTGTTTGGTTATCGGTGGCCGTTACCACGTCGAGCTCGACACCGACCGGCGATCCACCGTCGTGCGCGGTGACGGCCGTGGTCGACTGCAAAGGCATTGGTCCACGGCCGCTGGTCTTGATACCGCTGTTCCGCTGGGGCCATGACACGCTACCCCGTGGCATACTGCTGTAAGCCCGCAGTTCGGGAGATCCTCTGACGGCCGACCACGGAGACGAATCTGTTGGCAGAATCACACATTACGCGCTACGCACACGGACAGAAAGAGTCGACTAAGGATAAAACGAAAAAATAAAAGTTGTGGCACTACGTAGGTTGCGACACACGCTGGCGGAACGACGGCGACGTTTGCCTGTAGGAGGCGGTGTTACGACGATCCATTAGGATCAACGGACTTTGGTGGGCAGACTCGTTCACCAAGAATATATATATATATATATGTATAAACATATAAATATGTTTAAGTTGTGAACGAAATAAATGGAAATAAATCATAAAGAGGAGGTGGTAGCCAACGAATTTACAATTGTTTTCGAGTCATATACAAGGTGTGTGTGGATGTGTTTCACAATGAATGTGAAATACTAAAATCGTAAATCGTAAACAATACGATTTATAATACTATTATACTCGTTACCAACGTACCTTTGAACGTCAAAGATCTGCCAAGTTTCGTTTCGTTTTTCGGGAACTTCATATTTTCTGTCGTCAAAAAATCAACGAACCATTCTTTTGCCGGCTCCAGTGACCTAGAAAAATAATATTTTTAAACTATGTTATACTTATTACATGCCGAAATATATAGAATCACGTACTGAGAATAAATTATATTAAAACATTAATTCAAGACGTAAATCTACCATTGTTGGAGGTTGTAACTTTACGTTATGAGATTCATTTTACTTTTCATAACGTTCTTTTGAAAAAAAACGAGTACACGATTTTGTAGTATAATAATTAGATAATTTATACCAATATATAAATAATTTTTGAGTTATAAGATAGTAACATCATAGTACTTACATAAAATTATTAATTGGTCTTGTATATATAATGTAAGTACGTACATACATTACTACGTTATATTATGTAAAAACGTTGTTAAACATCTAATCGTTTTTTTTAGATATTCTATGCAATGTAAAATAATTTATCAATTTATTTTTAAGTTTTCATTTAAAAATGTTAATAATAATAATTAAACATTTTGTTAGGGGGTGATTTTTTGAAATAAATTTTATTTTTATTTTTACATTTAAAAAAAAAAAATCGAAAAATAATGATAAATAAGCATTTATTTAGATATAACTGGTTTTAAAATATTTTACTACCTAATTAAAAATCTAGTATGTTAAAATATTTGAGACCAAATACAATGTCAACAAAGATAAAAAGTATAGACGCCTTCCAGAAATTAACAGTAAAAACAAATTGTGAGAATAATAAAAATTTAAATGTTAGTTAATTATTTAAAATGGTTTGAAAATTAAAGAGAATATGTTTAGTAAATAACAAATGTTTTATTTTATACCTATGACCCAAAATATAATCGAGCCACGTTTTTACAAACGAGTTATGACACACAAATATAATGTTGCACTCTAGTAATTTAACTATCAATCAATATTAAATCTTGTTTAATTTTAAAAACTAGATCAGTTTAAAGTAACTCTCATATTTTTAATGTTTGCCATTATATTATAAAAAGGTTTTTATAGTCTTTATAGTTTTGACAGATTTAACATTTAAAATATCATAAGTATAAAAAATTAAAATTAAACATTCTGAAAACGACCAATTTCCAGGTATTTGTGATTACTTGCACATTTTTTTTCAAAGAATTTTTAAGTAAATCTATATTAGTATTTATTTTAATTAATTAAGTATTCAGAAAGATAATGTAGACCAAAAATAATTCTTAGTTTTCATTTTATTTTTTATATTTATTTGGTTTCATAAATGTTTTTACTAATATGAATTTTAGTCTTTAAGATGTATAAAATATTATAACTATAAACATAACTTCGAAATGCAAAGCAATTAAAAACTTAAAATATTTGTCTAGTTGATTAAATATGTCAATAATTGTTTAACAACTGTTCAATATAAATACGTCATTATTTTTCATTTGCTCCTTAATAAAACCTATTTACCTGTATTTTAATATCTCTTTAAATGGACATTTTTTGTTCATAGTTTTTGATAACAATTAATTTACTTAACGATATAAAATTACTCAAATGTGTTTAATCATTGTACATTTCGTTTAGTCAGTGATTTATCAGATGGATCTTTGTATTATTTGTACATTAATTGTTGCAGGCTTACTTCGGCATTTGCATCGCGTAGGCTTATTTTTATATTATTCTTTGCGTTTGGCATTAAATACGCGGGTTAAATTATTGTTGTCCTAATAATATGCTTAAATACTATTTATATTTAAATATATTTTTACATGTATTTTAAATAATATGAATATTCAAGTACTATAAAACGATGAGATACACTATGCATATTATAATTAAAATTGTATAATAGTAATTTTTAATTTAAAACCTATAAATACATTGTTTTTCCATTTTTATCATTAAGTAACGGTACGATTCAATTTAAATATTGTATACTCGTAATAATAAAATTTTTTATGAAATATAATGTTTGGAATAATGAAACTAAATGTTTATGCATCGTACTAAATTGTGACAGAATTCAAAAAGACGTAGAGGATTTCGTGGAATTTAAAGATAAATATTTAAATTTATAAATAAGTATGTATATATTGAAATTATATTGATGATTCATAAGATTTACGAAAATAATTAACAATTATTTTATAAAATTTTTAATAGATACTAATAATAATTAAGAGAAAATCATTGATTTTCAAGGTTGGGGAATTTCCAAGTCAAGATCCCTTCCTTAAAAAAAAAAGGTTAAAAATTCATCAAGATTTGCTACAAAGGTACAGAGAAAGAGAACATTAATTTACATTATGTAGTTATAAATAACTCTTCATTTGTATTTGTAATATTAATAATAGAATAGTAAAATCATACCTTATATGTATTTTTTTGGAAAAATGTTTAACCTCCTCCGAACAAAAAATTTGAAAATACGTCAACGATTACATAAATATAAATATAATATATAACTAGAACTGGGATTTATATGCAATAAAAAATTGTATAATATGCATTTGATTTACCAAAATATGCATAAATATGCAAAAACAAATTTTTATTATTTCTAAAATTATTATTTGTCATAATTTGTTATTATTACATTTGAATATTAGTTTACACTAATATAGTTTATAAGTCGAACTAATGAAATGCAATACTTCTGTACTGTCTCACAATATACATAAGTACTATATACCTATCATCATCTATCAGGCATGGGCCAGGCCGTTAAAATTTAAATCCAGGCCGAGCTGGTTTTAAAAAATATCATTAAATAAGGCCGGGCCAGGCTTTTATTCTCCAATAACAATTTCGGGCTGAAGCAGGGTATGACAAATATCATTAAGGCTTTAGGCCCGTCTCTCAGCCGGACGTTCATACGCGGCGTTTCTCAACTTACATTATTTAAGGTCATATGAGCCAATCGCAAAAACCCATACGCACCCTCTTCAGTTCAGTGCATATGAACTTAAATAATGTAATTCCAAAACGAGCGGCTGTGAAACCGGCTTTATACGTCAGCAGAAATCTGGACCGAGCCGGGCCTAACATTTTTGACCCGTTCAGACCTCTAATAAGACGTCGTTAAGACCAAGATAAGATAAGATATGTAGTATATTTACGTCGATTCGATAATTAAACGTTCATTAAATAAATACTATTTAAAATTAATAATATAATAAAAACTTGAAAATTTAAGTTTAAAAATTAACAAAATTAACAAGATTCTCAAAAATCTATAAATATGCAATTATATGCATTATGTTCAAAATATGAAATAATATGCAAAAAAAAAAAAGGTTCTATTTAATCGACAACAAGCCAAATCATAGACATACTGACAACCAATCAATTTGGACTTATGGAAAAAATATGCAAATGCATATGAATCCTAACCCTATATATGACTAATAAAATCATTTATATAAAACTTGTCATACAACGTTAATATTTAAACTATATAGTTGTTTACTTTTCAAACATGCTTATATTAATATACAGCAAATTATACAAATAACAGTTATAAGTTTATCTAAATGCCTTGTATAGTTTATGCCGTGTACGAAACGAAGAAAATAGTTTACGTATACGGAAAATATTCAATAATTTGTGACCTACTCGACTTTTTCTTTGTGACATCGAATACATAGCCATTCAGGAGCATTTGCGGCAGTAGAGTATTCTCTGCAAGACATGCATATCCGTTCACGGCAAGCACGGCAGTTAGCACCTCTATTAATAATCCGGCCTAGTTCGGCCCGGCATCGAGCGCAATAGTGCCCAGACCACAAACTGGATTCGCATCGCAATACCTCTAGTTCTCCACTGGTCATATTTTCGTAGTTCCTAAAAAAAAAGCAATAAAATACGTCATGAGATTAAATTTTATTTTATATTTGATACATTGCCTTGTGATTATAATTTCTATGTAGAACATATGGGTATTTAAGAAGAATAGACATAGATAATTTATTTTAGTGGGAGGGCCTAATTATATCTTGTGAATCCTCTATTCATTTGTATTTAAGCAAAATGGAAATATGCGAAATCTTACCAATATTTATTTTGTAAGATTTATAATAGGAAACGAAAAAAATAATGAGCAAACAATAGTACCAATTAGTTATTATAGACAAATTTCTGTTATTTTTCATTTCTTAAAAACAACAATTGTTGCAAAATAAATTATTTAAAGTGTATTTACACACGGTGTATACATGCTATGTATATTATATTATATATACAATGTATTACATAGTATGATTTATTTTAAATTCCTCTAATTGTATACCGAAGCTAAGTGATAGATCAGTCACTGACCGACTCTACACTAAACACTAGTTCTCGGAAGGGTGAACATTTAACCAATTTCAGAATTTAGCCATGCACAACGCCATATTTCTGGTAAGATCATTATAGAGTCTTCTAAAATGTATGGTCGAGTTTTAATAGAAATACATTGAAAAATAACATATGTTTTTTACGTTAACACGTCCGAATATTATTTTGTTACGACATTATTATAATTTGTACGACCAACTTAGAATGCACTAAAAATGTATTTAAAAAAAAGAATGTTTAACAATGTTAAAACAAATAATAGAAAAATATTTAGTAGTATTTTAAAAAAAGCTTCCGAATAAATATATTTTATATGAATATTATATATATATAATTATGTGTAAATTAATTCTGCTTTCATCAGGCAAAGAAGTAATAAAAAGCTTTTCGTGAATTTCTTACCGGTTTTATAATTCATTTCATGACAAACCTATGTCGTCATTAAGGTGTGAAATGTTAATTTAATGTAAGTTCCATAATTTGTTTTACACAATCTTCATACAAGGTATATTTGTATCATACGCAATAGATTATTTTTGTAAACGCATTAATGAAACTCGTATTGGAGTAATATTATCCATGATTTAATTATTAAATGAAAAAGAAAAATAATTTTGAATAGCAGTATTTATTTTTAACTTTATTTAATTTAAGTGGTTTTTGGATATTTATTTTAAAGTTATCAATCACCATATATAAATAATAAACTAGATGGTGCAATGGAAAATTTCGTTCTAGAATTTAGTGACTTTGCTATCGTGAAATTAATCATATTACATATTTAGGTACATCAAAATTACAAATTATAAAATTAGACATAGTCAAACTATAAGAATAAGTATTATAAACTAAAACACTATCATATGGTATTCAGACTTAATTTTATATATTAGCACTTTAATGTTAAATGAAGTTATGATTTAACAAAACAGTGAATAAATATTAAGTAACTGCATAGTATATATTATACAATTTGCTTTCATTTTATAAATGTTCTATAAACATATGGATTTTTATTTTAATATTTTCCATCCATCATGTCTAACCTATATTTTTTTTCTGTATCATCAATCATAACTAAGACTAAGAATTACAGTTACAAACCAGTTTTTCTTTGATGTTATAAACAAATATATATAGGTATATGAGGTGTTATACATTTTACTTCAAATATTCAGCGTTTACTAGTTGGGTTCCGAAGACCCTTATTTAGTCTAGTTAAGTCCCAGTGTTTTTTTCAGGTAGTACACTAGTTGAGTTCCATGATTTTACAAGTAACTACTGTGATTGGGTCTATACAAAAAAAAAAATTTGTCCATACAAAAAAACATTTTTCTTCTAATTTTTGCAGACTAGACACTGTCAGTTACCTATGGGAGTTGGTAAATTGGGTCCTAAATAACATTGTCTAGGAAAACTGAGTCCCGGGAAAATAAAGGTAGTAGGTAAGTTGGGTCCCGAGGAAGAAAAAAGGTAGTAGGTAAGTCCAAGGTAAACAATTTTTTTTTAAATATCTAATAATTTTTATTAGAAGTTAATTTTAATATTATTGTATTTTTATTAAATTTTCGGTAAAAACTTAAAAGATACAAATTTAACAAACTCAAATTGACGTACAGTACGCAATGCACGCTATGAAAAATTTAGTGAAAATGCTCAGATTTCGTACACTCGTGTATGTGCGAAATCATAAAAATCAATATTGGTGTTAACTGATAACTGACACACGATATGCGACAAGCTAATGTACGTATGTGCCTATATACGTATCATAATTAATTAATTTAATTAGACATAATCAAAGTTACAACGTTACGAAGTTATTTGATTACAATGGAATCGATAACCGATAACAACAGTGTGAATTATAATTTGTAAAACGACTACGGACAGGTAGTATAGTTAGTAGATGGGACTCAATTCACCTACTACCTTTTTTTTCCTGGGGACCCAACTTACCTAATATATTTTTTTTCCCGGGACTCAATTTACCGTATTCAAAATGTATACAACATATCGTGTACTCAATTTACCTAGTCCCTTATCTATATCGGTGAAATAAACGCCAAAATGAGATAAGAAAAAAAAGTCGTATCGTACAAAAGCGCCAAAATCGTATCGTACGAAAGCGCAAAAATCGTAAATACCTGTGAGCCTCGGTTAAATAACAGATATTAATTTGGACTGAAATTCCAGATAATGAAGTTATACGAACTACAAATGCAGCTGAATCATATCATCGACATTTAAAAGATCAATTTTATGTGGCTCATTGTTCCGTTCATATGGTAATTGATGTATTATTAAAATTGCAAAGAGAAACATATTTATTTATAAACTCTCCTCGTATCAATAAATTAAAGATATCTAATGAAGAAATAATTGTTCAATGGAAGAAATACCAGTATGGTGAAATAAATCGTACAGAATATGTGAAAAGAGTGGGATTAAAAAATCAACCAATTTATACATTATAATATTATATAATTTTATATTATAACTTATTATCGACATTTTTTTTTTATAAAATAAAAACCGATTTATTAATTTATTATATTTATATTGATTTGCATGTATATTATAATTTATTATTGACATAATAATATTAATTAATATATAATATACATTTTATAAGATATAGCAATTTTTAAATAACTACCTACTTATATAAAATATTAATTTTGGTGTTTATGTCATATGTCGGGTAAAACAGGTATACAATATTATTGGCGCTTATGTCTTACAGATCTTAGCGCAAATGATAGGTCAATTTGTACCTTTGGCGCTTATGTCATACAGCCATCAATATTTTTTAAAGTTTATAATATTTGGTACATAATTATTAATTGACAATTAGAATTACAGTATATGATAAATAAATAAATAAATAAAATGATTACAAAATTAAAATTTTTTATAAAATTGATAACAATTTAAACGATAGAACTTTTACAAACTTAAAACTATTGATTTTTTTAACATTATCAAGTATATCAATATTTGTAAATTACAGGCCTTATTGTTGTAGTGATTAGACCGAACTAGTATGTTATGGTTTTTTTAGTCGGACTAAACTCGTATATTATCGTCTTTATAATCGGACCTAATCAGTTATTTATCTTTATCATAAATATTATCTAGGACCTAACTCGGATACTCCCAAATTACTGAGTTCAAATGTTTTCTTTTATTAAACAATATACAATATAACTGTCATAAAAAAAGTGTAAGCAATAATAATTATTATAACATTCTAATATAACCTGATTTATAATATACAATAAAACATAAGATACAACTGCTATTCAAGAAAAATGCATCATTTAAAAAATTGATGCTCAAGAGGTAACCAAATAATCCAAAATCAAGATTAAAAAGTTATTATAGAGGACCAAAAACATACACACATTTTAAGTAATCGTAAATTAAAACGCATTAAAATAGTAATGTTGATTTCATAACAAATAATAATATCATAATAATCTTTTTTTTTTTTTTTTTTAATTGGATAGTACTTACATGGTTGCAGTATTAAGCCTATATAATAATATATTACATAAATATAATTTATACTATTGTGCGAGCTAATAACGATCGTAGCGACGTAATCTAAAAAATTATTATCAATTAGGGATACCTTATACTGCCACGAACATTATTTTTATAAGCCCTTAAAAATACGCTGTAATAAGTCACTCAGATAGCAGATTTCCGACGTCTGCAATAGGCAAAAAGTTCATAAAAGAAATGTATACTTTAATTGTAAGTAAAAAAAAAATAATAATTTGAGAACCTTTAAATCACTTTAGAATTAACAGAATTTTAATTTAATATAGTATGAATCACCTCATTTTATACACTAATACTAAAACAATATCGTAATTAGTCAAATAAAATCTTAAAACCTGCTTAAAACATATTTAGAGAAAAAATAAATTAAATATTAAAAAATGAGTGAAGTTGTAAAAGATTGTTAAAAAGGTTTTGATAAAAAAAAAAAAAAAAAAAAAAAAAAACATAGATACAAATTTAACAAATCTAAAATATAAGTATTAAAAAGACAAATGCATTATTATAAACAGTTGAAAAATATTTAAATTTAATTCTAGCACTAAAATATACTAATTCGTTTGGATACATTGAAAGTGATCCGACTACTATTGTAAATCAAGATTACCAATAAAAATACTTCCTATTAAAATGAACAATACATAAAGCGTTGAAAACTATTATAACTAAACGTAATTTCTTCCAAACAGATCATTTTTATATAAAATATTGAAAACTGTTTAGTAATATTTTCTTAAAGAAAAGTAGAAATATCATGAAGTTTTTCTAATGCATTTATAAGTTGATACACACAGCAGCAGAGTTCTGTTCGACGAACATAGGTAATAAGGTAATAACATCAATAAATTGCCGTCGGTTCAAACAGAAAAGGTAACAACACTAATATAAAATTATGAATCTAATAATTTTACACAAAAATGAAAATAATATTAGAA